GAAAAGTCCCTTTCGCATTTCATATAATAAGGGCTTGGTGATGATGAACTCCTTTAACTTGACCTTATCTGAGAAGCACTTTATCTGCCCTTCCATTCTAAATGAAAGCTTTGCTGGATAGAGTAATCTGGGATATAGGTCCTTGTCTTTCATGACTTGGAATACTTCTTTCCAGCCGCTTCTTGCCTGTAAGTTCTCTTTTGAGAAATCAGCTGACAGTCTGATGGGAACTCCTTTGTAGGTGACTGTCCCCTTATCTCTTGCTGCTGCTAGGATTCTCTCCTTCATTTTTACCTTGGCTAATGTAATGATGATGTACCTTGGTGTGTTTCTTCTTGGGTCCAACTTCTTTGGGACTCTGTGAGCTTCCTGGACTTCCTGGAAGTCTATTTCCTTTGCCAGATTGGGGAAATTCTCCTTTATTATTTGTTCAAATACATTTTCAATCTGTTGCTCTACCTCTTCCCCTTCTGGTACCCCTATAATTCAGATTTTGGAACTTTTAAAGATGTCCTGGAGGTTCCTAAGCTTCTCCTCATTTTTTTGAATTCTTATTTCTCTATTCTTTCCTGTTTGGTTGTTTCTTTCTTCCTTCTGGTCCACTCTATTGTTTTGAGTCCCCATTTCCTTCCCATCATTATTGGTTCCCTGTGCATTTTCCTTCATTTCTTTTATGGTAACCTGCATTTTTTCATCTAATTTGTGACCAAAATCAACCAATTCTGTGAGCTTCCTGATCACCAGTGTTTTGAACTGTGCATCTGATAGGTTAGCTATTTCTTGGTCGCTCAGAAGGATGAGTTCTGGGGCACTGATTTGTTCTTCTATTTGAGCCATCTCTCTCTCTCTCTCTCTTTTTTTTTTTTTTGGTCTGGTGACTTCTGTTATGGTGAGGGGCGGAGCCTTAGGTGTTCACCAGGGCTGGGCACCCCAGTCGCTAGATTGTGACGTTGTATATGAGGGCGGGGCCAAGAGGGAACAATGGCGGTAGCTCCATTCTCTGTGGGACCTCAGTCCCCCCGCTGGGATCCTGGGTTGTGCATTCTGCCCTGCTCCACAATCACCACCTCACTGGGTCTGCCAGCTGCCGCTTGCGTACTCAGAGTCCGCCTGTTTTGATCTTGCGTGCCCCAGATGCCTTACGTGCTCCGGATTGCCTTATGCACCCAATTCTCCCTGTTCTCCGCGCCGCAACCCACACCCAGCTGCTTATCTCCGCCCCTCCTACCGGTCTGGATGAACGGGTCTATTGCAACTTCTTGGCTGTCCGACTTCCATTCAGATAAATTCTCTATCAGTTCTGGGTGTTATTCTGCCTCTAAATTGTTGTTGTTCCAATCTTGGTTGTGCGTGGAGGTACAGTGTGTCCACCTATGCCTCCATCTTGGCCAGAAGTCCTGGAAATGATTCTTAAACAGATGTGGCCTCTTTTCTTACCTATTACAAAACACTGCATGGACCCCGTGTGGTTGATTTGGAATGCATGCCAACTTTAAGACATAATTCTCTGTTAAAAACTCCCTCAGCTTTCTATCCCCAAACAGACCAGGAGATGCAACACTTTCTGATTTAAAGGTGCTCATATGCCTTTAAAGATAATTGAGGCAGCTTTATTTAGGAAAACAAAAGTCACTTCATACATGATACTGACCAACAAGATGTACCCAAATGACAGCTGCATGGCTGGGAGGAGCCATTAACTTCCAAACTGCTCCCAAATTTCACTGAGGGCTGGAGAGTCTGCCGTGGACTTCTGCCCTGCTCTCCTTTCCTGCTGCCTCACAGTTTGAGTTTTAACACCCGTATTTAGAAACTGGGCAGCCTTCTGTCTTATCATTTTCTCACCTTCTCAAGTCAATGGCTTTGATTCCACTGTAGAAACTCATTCTCATGGCCACATCCTGGATTCCGTCATCCCCCTATGTCTGAAGTTCTGATGAATTCAGTACATCCTCTTGCACATTACTTCCAATTCTTCTATGGCTCTCTCACTCCTTCACGACCGCCATGTTTGTTCTTTTTTCTCAACATTTCTGTTCCCTCGGGCCTTCAACTTCCTGAGTTTGCTGGTCCTTGCCTGAACTAATTCCTTTCTTTACTCATCCTGGATGTATTCAGTAGACACACTCATGCTCGGCTCACTGATCCCAGTCTCAAAGGCTCTTGTACTCTGCAAACAGCCAGCCATGGACCAGGCCTCTAATCTACCTTCTCTGAAACTTTTCCTCTTGGGAAAAGGATGAGGAGACTTTTAAAATAAGATATCTTTCAACTGAAATTGAGTGAGCTGTAATAAACATGCACTGTAAAGTAGAGTTCTGAAGAAGTAGCTTGCAGTTCTCTTTTATCTCTCCTTGGAAATGATTTCACAGCTTTCTAATGGTCTGTATTTCCTTAATAATATTCAGAGCTATGGTGTGATAATTTGCATTTTCTTTAAGCTTCCCATAATGTTGTCCCACTTCATGTGAATATGCAGTTAAGCAAGTGTAAGAGCCCATAATATAAAAATTAATGAAGTCTCAATTCATGCACCAAATTTGAAATAGTATGAATCCAAATATTTTAAGATTTCATCAAGAATTATATAATTGTAAAGGTGGTAGCCTGAGTGAGTGGTGAACTGTTCATGCTAAGGCCATATGGTAACGTACTTAGCAAGTAAAAAATATTCTTCTTCATTTGTTAGTATTTTGTGAAGTATACACTTGTTTACATGTGTAATAACTTCAGTCACTATTCTGCTGTTATTTAACCATCCACTGTTATAATTGACAATATTTTTGTATCCTATAAGAATGTAATGCATGGACTCACGAAACAGGAGTGCTAGGAAACAGTGTTGAAAACATGTCTCACAATCAATTACTTTGGCATGGGAGTTGGAAGTGAGTGAACAAAACTCTAAATAAAGCAAACAACTGCCATGACACGCTGTAGTGTTAATGTGGAAATCAGCAGTGGAGAAATATTAGAAATAATGCTGAAAATTAAAACGATAAATATGTAACACAATGGCTAAAGATTTATGCACTCTGAAAATACATCCCACATTCTTTGTATTTCTGCCTATGGGGAAATTAGTTCTTCGAATTTTGTGAGTTTTTAATTATATACTCAACTTCCTTTGTTTAGAGATGGAACCAAATTCCATGTATATAGGGGAATGAGCCTGAATTGCATTTTAAAATAAAGTATTTGTTTCCTTGTGTGTTTTTTTTAATTATGAACAATCAGGCTATAAAGTGTGAAGATGAAGAAAATCACCGACAGTATCACCATTCAATGGCCAAATTTAGTAGTATTTTGACAGTTTCTTTAGCTTTTTCTCCATATTTTTACATTGCTTAGATAAAATAAATGTTTAATTTTGTATCTTAATGTTTTTCTTAACCTTAAGTGAAGATTTATCAAGACATTAAGAACTATCTATGGATGTTATAAAGGCTTCAATAATCTTACCATCTGATTATACCATATTCAATTAGTACTATTTCTAACACTCAAACATTAGGCACTTTCCAACTTTTGCCATTATAAATAATCTAGTGATCATTATCTTTGGATTTTAAATCATTTTTCTTTGGAGAAATTTCTTAGAAGGAGAATTATTACATCAAATGGTATCTTGATACATACTGCCAAATTCCTTTCCAGAAAGATTAAAACAATTTAAAATTTGCCTGGCAACAGATAAAAGAACCCATCTCTCCCCATCTTCACCTCACTGAGTATGAAATTTATAAATTTCATTTACAATTAATTTAGTTTTCTAGTCCTCTAAAATAGTAATTATTTTCTTTAGAGATTTCTGTTTGAGTATATATTTAAAAAATTAATGGTTACATGCAACACTTTATTATCTTCTTGGAATCTCTCTTGGGCTGCAGACAGAGGGCAGCTGGAGCTGGAGTCCGGGCTCACGCAGGCTGCTTGTCCCGGGTGGCTTCTTCATTCATAAGCTCAGCCTTGTTCCCTCCTGGCCGCTTCCCCTAGCACAGTACTTTGGGTATCTTACAAGGTGACTCAGGGCTCCAAGAATTGGAAGCAGTTTTTTTATAAGGTAAGATAACGTAAGGTCTGAAATAGGGTCACCTTTGCTATGTCCTAGTGATCAAAGCAAGGACCTGAGAGTCCAGATTCAAAAGGCAGAAATGTTCACATCTTGCTGGGAAAGTGGCCTGTGCTAATAGGAAAACCCACCGTCTTTGGAGACAACCTCTCACATCTCTATTGCTCTTTATTGATCTAAGCTTTTCCTCATGAACATATTTTAAATGTGTGTTGCTATAGTAATCATATGCTTTTTCCTTTATAGTTTACTAACCAGTTAGTGCTGCTGTTTTTCACATGCTTATTTTGTATTTACTCACCTTACTAAATGCTCTTATTTATTTTAATTCTCAGTTTAATACCTTGGTTCTCCTAAGAAGGTAATCATACTATCTTAAAATAAAGATAACTTTTTTCTTCTCTTTTTCAATAATCAATCTCTTATCTATTGCACTGGTTAAGACTTCCAGAAGATGCAGCCTTGTTCTGTTTCTGGTGTATAACTTTTTAAGTATAAGTAAATTCAGGTTATAAACTGGGCACATTTTATCAACACACACATTTCCCAGAGCCAAATTAAGTCACTTACTTTTATGTGTCAGTACAGTACAAATGAATAGAAAGGTAGGTTCTTATTCCAGGTAAATTAAACTCAGGGACAGGGATAGTAAAAGAAGTTGAGAAAGAAAGTATTGACCCACTAATATGTTTTGGACATTGTAATATTTTCTCCCTGAAATCTATAAACATCTAAAAAGAAATCATAACCATAAAACATTGTATTGACTCCCTCAAATAGCAAATATCTCTAAATAAATACAAAATATCATAAATCTCAGCAATTTATCCTTTCTTCCTAAGCTTAACTATTTACACTGGATATAAACAATAATTTTATGTATATAAACAAGTATTATAATATGGCTTTCCAACCCCTTTGTACTCACAAGTGGCTGATAGTCATATGGTGGAGTGTAGTCCTCAGTATATGTCGTCAGTGAACACCTACAAGGGAGAAGTCAGTATTTGAGAAAAGAATGACTTCAAAAACAATCTTTGAAAAATTTTAGTGGTATATACTTAACATAAAATAAAAACACTTCAAGAAGGATCAACCGTAATACAAATTTTAAAACCCACAACTTCTCAGCTTTGTTTATATTGTTACCTACCCCCAGCAGGGTGGTCTTCCTTCATTGCCTCCAATTCAGCATCATCTACCACTGTTCTGTGCTAATAATATGCTACCAATCCCAAGTCCATGAGCTCAGGTGCATTCCAGACTTTTCAGAACTCTTCACCACCCATTTTCTGCCTCTCAAAACTTTTTGATCCTATGTCCAGGTTCTCTGCTAGATAACAACTCACAAGATTAACAGAAGACAGGCAGGGGGACTAAGATAACATGGCTTCCCCAGCCCCCATCCTATTAAACACACAGAATTTCACCTAAAATATGTCCTACTTCCCCCAAGTGAAGAAGCATGGCCAAGCTCAAAAGGGGAGCCCTGAAGTGCTAGAAATGAAGAGTATACTCCTTAGAATGGGAAGCATAAGCCGTCCCAAGGATAGGGGCTGGAGCTTGCACTGCATATCAAAGGCAGAAGACATGGCCTGGGGTGGGTTCACAGAAGGCAAAGAGCTAAACTCCTGCTCCCAGCCAGGAGTCTGTAAAGGCTGGACCTCCACATAACAGGAGCCAAAATTCTCCAGTAACCAGTTCAGGGAAACTTGCCAGAAAGTTTCTTTCCATTTGAAACTGAGGGTGGGGGTAAAATCATTCTCCCCTGAGAAATTAAAACTCTACTTCTATTCCTGACACTTTATGGAACTAAATGGCCAAAGAAACTCCTCTGAGAATTGCACACCTAAAAATACTGGGTACAAGGAAATTTAAACACTTTAATACATGCCTAAGCTAGTGGGAAAGTAAGAGAGTTCAACAAATGAAAGAATTCCAATACAAAAAGAAAGGCCAACTCAGAACAGTTAAAGGGTACAGGTGTTAATTTTACTTGCTGATAATCACTAATTCCTGACAGGCTTTCAATGTGTGGTTTCCAGAGGAGTAGTATTAGTATGATCACGTTGTAGTGCAACACATTACTGACATGTTTGTGGTGATACTGGTGTGAACACACCTGCCGCACTGCTGGTCGCATAAAAGTATAGCAGTGCAATTGTGTGTAGTACATAATATTGATTATAATAATGAGTGACTGTTACTGGTTTGTGTATTATCTATACTATACTTTACCACTATTTTAAAGTGTACTCTGTTTGCTAAACTAAGAAGTTTTCTGTAAAACAATACACCGTGTTAATGCCAGCAACAGACTCATACTTCTTGTGATTGCATCATTTTCTCTTGTGCCCGATTCAATCTCATTTGGTGGGAAAAAAACTGAGAACATCTGAGACTAGAGGATTTGAACACTGGCTTCAAGAAAGAGGCTTGGGGTATGCAAGACCACAATGGCAGTCTTTATAAGACACTGCTTCTAGGGAAGTTGCAGGTGGGGACAGATGGCAAAATAAAGAAAAATAAGAAATCAGGCCCAGAAATTAACTGTCCTAGAACCACCACTACCCTGCACTCTGCCCCCCAGCCCCCTCCCCCGCCCCGCAAAAGATACCATTGATGAAATAAAGTTCGCTTCACTGTTCTAGCAGAAGAGGGCACTCTTGAACTAAGATACAGAGGAAACTGCCCAAACTTCTCATTTTTCCTCCATAGGATTTATGGTTGCTGCCAGTCCAGGAAAATTAAACATGCTTAAAATGTAAAAAAAGGGCAACATTAAGACTAAACAATAGGTAAGAATCAAAACTAAGTTGATGAAAATGCTCCCCAGAAACATTCCTAGTCGGAGTAGTCCCCTACCAGCATTTCTATCCAACAATGTACTGGACATTCTAGCAAATGCAGTAAAACAAGAAAAAGAAGCATAAGTATAATAATTGGAAGGGGAAAAGCAAAATTTTCATCATCCACAGATGATAAAATTGTCTACATTAAAAAATCCAAGAGGATCTTTGAATCACAACAATAGGCAAGTTTCTGGAAGGCTGTTGGATACAAGACCAATACACAAAAACAGTATTCCCAAAGTCAGCAATGAGAAACTAGAACGCATAATTAAAATGGAAAATGCAATAAAATCTCTAAAATTCCCAGAGGACTACATGTCACAGAAGATCTATAAGACATTTATGAGAAAAAACACAAAATTTATTGAAGGACATAAAATAACTCCTCCGTTTATATACGGGTGACTCAGTCAGTCCATGCTATACATACACGTACATGTGTGCAACATGCATACATATCATTTCTAAGGGGTTCACAGTTTTACATTTGATATATAAGTACTGCTTAAATTATGATCTAAAACTTCTTTTGAACAAAAGACAACATGGATAGTTAGAAGAGAAGCCATAGACTGGAAGAATATATCATAAAATTAAACAAAACAAGATTAGTACTCAGAATAAAACATTCTTGCAAATCAATAAAAAACAGAATCCCATAGAAAAATGGGCAAAGCCTATCAACAGTCAATTCACAGTAGAAAAAACATGGCTAATAACTATTTTAAGATAAATTCAGGCTTAAGATTCTGTCTTAAATTCAGTAATTAGTGAAATGCAAAGTAAAACATCAAGGTACCATTTCATAGCCATTAGATTGGTATAAATTTAAAATGCCTACAACATGTATAAGGATATGAAAGAATGGGTACATTCACACATTACCAGTGGCAGTGTCTTGCAAAATTGAAGGTGCATTTATCTTAATACCCAGAAACTCTATTTCTGAGTATAAAGAAATCCTTGCATCTATACTCAAGGAAACATGGATACAGAAACTCAGTGCACCCTTATGTGTAATAATGAAAATCTGGAAGCTAACTTCCATCAAAAGGGTGGATATATTGGATGGTTATGATAAATATGGTAAATCATTTCTATTAAAAATATAAAGCAAATTTGGCTAAAAAATTAACTTACATTATAAGTAGATAATGAGTAAATAAATGGGTGTTTGAGTAGTATAATAGTCAATAATATTCCAGTGGAAATACAATTAAAATATTCCATAATCTTAAGATGTTTGTGCTAATAGATAACAATGAACTTGCTTCCCTACCTTATTCTTATCCAAAGCTACGACTGAAATGATATGATTATGAGTCAAATACCAGCCCCTGCAAGGTGGCATTGGGCATCTCTCTCCTCACTCAGAGCAGGCAGACCCCCCTCCCATCCGTGCTCAGGCCCACTTCCTCTCCTATTATCCTCCCAGCTCCGTCTGATACAGGTACTAAAAAATACTTATTGAGTGAATAAAGCAATAAAAATAATTATAAAGAGTTATAGATTTATAATGAGAACTTAAACAGAGGTAGAAATTAAAATATTCAGTTATCCTCTTGAAAAGCAATGCGGCTCGACAAAATGGAAACTCATATAATACTGAATGACTTTCAGTCAGTGAAACTCTATGTTTGCCTCTCCCCTTTTTAAATCTGAAGAACAGGGCAACAATTTTTAAGTAATATGGCTTGTCAAATTTAAAATAAGGTGGTCTTTTGAGAATAAAAATATAAAAAATTCAACATAAATCTTCCTTTTAGATATCAGCTTGAGACTATAGCTAAATTAAAAAGTATTAGAACAGAGCACGTCTACTGGAAGAGAAACAGCCTTTGGAGAAACTCAGAAAGCAGAAAGTGAGAAGAATAAGGGAGGCGTTGGTTTTAGGCATCATCCTGAAGAAGAGATGAGCTGGCTCAGGAAGAGACCTCTCTAGTTCTGGGAGCAGAGGCGGTGCACACCACTGTCAGTGTTCCACACCATTTTGTGGCAGCCAATAATGACTCGAGTCACCGTCCAGGTCCACCAGAAGCAAGCCCGTGCCTCAGAGCTCTGCTTACCATTCCATCCCTCCCTCTAGCTATAGGTCCGAATGTCAGCCTCCAGCCCATGTTCAGTCAGAGCTCTCCCATGGTATTTCTTAGCAGAGACCAGTGGAAAAGGGGCGGTAACTCTGCTTTGATGAGAACCATGTGATATGACACCCCTGCCCTCAGAGGGAGGAAATGATTCCAGCAGTCTCTGAAGTCCAACTCTTCCATGCATTTGCCTGGAGTTACATGTGGTATTCCAGAATTTTTTAAATAAACTCCCCTTTTGGCCCAAGATAATTTGATTGTGTGTCTGTCACACCTGAAAGAGTTCTATTATAATTAGGCAATCAGAGTCTGAGGTCATTGATTATTGTAGTCATATAACTACCCTTGCTCTGATTCCAAACACTCTGAACAACATTTTCGTTATAGTCTGGCTTCCAATATATATATTTTTCAACCAGGAAAGAATGTTTTTATTAGACATGACTGGTATGCTTGAATATTTTATTTCTCATTACAAATTAACTAATTAGAATGATGGATTTTCTTGTGAGTTTAAGGACCACAAGTCAATCTTTACGAGCAGACAAATTCTGAAGCGTGTATGAAAGGGAAGGAAATGTAAAACTGAAGACAAGATTCTGGTGAATTCACCAGGATAACGCCATACTGTGAGGACGCTTGGAAGCTGGACGGCTGACTCTCACCCAGCACCACCCACAATTTGCCACGCATGCCCTCTTTAACCTTTATGGCTGTAAGGTAGAGAGCAAGTAGTGATGTTTTGTAAGATGACAAAGCAAAAGAAGTCTGATATGAAGTTATCATTAAAACCATGGTACTTGTTAAAACACCTACACTTGCACTAACACCAGTGGTAACTCCTGTGAATCTATAAGATGATGCACTAAAACCCACAGAATCACAGTTCTTAAACCTAGAAGAGCTTTAAAGATCAATTGCTCCTTTTCTGTTTTCTCTGGAGGAGAAGCAGATATTTTTCTCTCCCAGCTTCCCGACGGCCGGAAGAAGGGCATGGGACATCTACTCAGCGAATAAGACGGTCGTCCCTCAGAGTCTGAATCTGTGTAC